GTCAAGCCGTAGTTGCGCGTAGCCACATTACGGCTTAAACTGACTACACTACTTGCGTTAAAGCGGCGTGTTCGAGTGACGTCTCGTGTTATCCGCAACTATACCTATGGGGACTACTAATAGTCAACCAACAACAAGGAGGGCTACTGGTGTCTTGTAGGCGGCTGCTTACAGAAAGCAATAAGTGGGTGCAGGGTTGCCTCCGGTAATGCAAGCAATTTACCTGAATTTATGAAAGGTGACGTAGAGGGACGTAGGGTGTCAATCAAAGCAAAGGTTTTGGTACGGTAAATGACAGCAAGCACTTAATCCGGTATTTCATAATATTCCCATATTGCATACAAGATATTTATAAATAAGAGTTAGCTAGCGAGGTAGCTTGGAGCCAGCAATCAGCTCCGGTTTCACAGTCCAGGGACTAAGGAGAGGTTGGGGGGCATGACGGAGCTTCAGTCTGCAAACCCTTTTCTTAACAGTTACAGTGTATGTTGGTGGTTGCCAGTGGAAGAACAAGTCTTGGCGTCAGGTCGCTTCCCCTATTATCTGATACGCCTTCCCGAAGCCCGCCCTTGCTTTTGCTGGTTCAAGGTCGGCTTCTTAATGAAATGATAAGAACAACCCCGTCGTATATGAGAATTGAATCTCGTACGGCTCATCAAGCAGAAAGACAAAAATACTGGTCAAAGCCGCTGACTACTTCGCATTGCGAATCTTCGCTTATCCATTTGACTTCGCCCATTTGAATTGCATATATCAATGTGTCTGGCTAGCTCAAAAAGATGATCTCTTAGCACCTGTTCACTATATATACTATAATAGGCTACCTTTTTCCCTCATCCTGAATGAACTTGGCCAGCTCAAGATTCATCTTCTTATCTGTAGGCATAGCTTTCTAGGTCTGTTCCCAAACTAGCCCTTGTTCAAGGGGCAAGGTTGAGATCTCTGTGGAATAGCGCTCAATTAGCCTGTCTAATCTTTCCTTTCTTAAGTAGACTTGATTGACTACACTCTTTTGATCTTTCCTCGTCTCGTTTCTAGACTTCCATTTTTCTTTCTTTACACCTTTTTCAAGGTCTACCAAGACAGAGAAAGATGAACCAAGACATCAGCTTTCTTCTTCTTCTTCTTATACATCCTTCCATAGAAAAAGGATGTAATGATCCGAGTCTATCCTGACCTAGTGAGGGATATCGGGGTTAGTAGTCAATCATGAGGACTTTTGTTCAAGGCCCTTTATCTTAAGCAGGCTAGGCTAGATAAGAATGTATTCTATGGGCAGCTAGACGAAGAGCGTATTAGAGAGATAGATAAGCAAGGAAAAGGGATGGAAGCTAGGAGAAGATGGAAAGTGAAACCGGATGTACTTTCTCTTTTGATAGCTAGATGGTTGCCCGTTAGTTTCGGGAATGGTTTACCTGAAAGATGTAGCTAACTTTAGTGTTCTAGCACGCTAGGATGAATTATATCAAATAGGATCTCTCAAGTGAGAGCTATAGAAGATAAGGAGGACAGGTTAGAATAGATTCGATTGTAGCTCTCTTCTTTAATCTTCCCTCCAGGGCTCTCTCTAAAGCCTTTCAACGATACTTTCTAGAGGTTAAGCTAGCCCTCTCCAATTATAGGTTCATTTGAGGATGTCTTCGGCTTAAAGAAAGATGGGCATAGAAGCCGTTTATCTCATATAATTTCTTGAGTCTAATGAGGAAGAACAGTTATCAGTCTTAGCCTCCTTCTTTTAACCTTCTATTGGTGGCTCAAGAGCAGCTACCTATTCTCCTTTATATGGTTATCTGCTTTTCGGTCTTAGCACTGGATTTCCGGTCTCTCCTCTATAGGACTAGCAATCTCCTTCCTAAAGGTTATATCAAGCTAGGATGAATTAGAATCCCTTCTATCTATCCCTCTCTTGCTAGTAGCTCCCTTCTTTCCTAGTAGCTAGCTGGTTTGGGAAGCTAGGACAGGTAAGAATGTATGAGGTTTCCGTTGTTTGTTGTTGGGAGTTGGATGTAACTACTTGAATCCAATACCTTAAAGATGTAGCTACTCTTCCTAAGGTTTATATCAAGATAGGAAAGAAAAGAATGTATTAGATCTAGCAATGGTAGCTATTCGAAGAGCGGATAAGAAATAGATTCGTTTTAGGGTTAGAACTGTACCTATGAGCGAAGGGATCCCCCTGCCTCACCAGGTGAGGGGAGCCCTAGTGGTACTTCCTTTCCTTGCCTGCAAGCTTTATAAGGGTGCTATGCTATCTAGAGAGAGGGTTAGTTTCTCTTTGCTCCTCCTGTATGTTTATAGGCAGCTAGGCTAGAGAAGACTTTATTCTATCTTGCTTCTAGGCGGAGAGCTAAGGAAGAGCTAAGGATAGCTAGGAATGTATTAGATTGTAGCTTTCTTTCCTAAAAGTGCTGTTAGTTGAATAAGAGGACTAACCGCTTTCTTTTCTTCTTTGTGATTGCCTTTAGTACTGTCATATGAGTGAGTCAGGGCAGGCAGGAGTGTATCGAGGAGAGTGGAGCGAGGGATGGAAAGGATAGATTCATAGGTTTACGCCTCCGGGATCAATTCATTCACAGAAGAAGATTCTTCCTTTATTTAAGAACATTTGATCAGAATGTTCTTCATTGATTTCAGTTTCTTCTTCCTTTCTTTAAGCAGGTCTTTCTTCTCTTCCTTGAGCGGATAAGGATTATGGTTTCACTACACTAATAGGATTCTGACTGGCCTATATGCCCAGCGGGCAATACTTGACTTAGCTTCCGCCGGTCAATCCCCAGGGTAAACAATCGTGTAGCTTGTGATGTCAAGCAGCCTAAACTCCTGGCCTTGGCTTGACTTGGGTGTTTACGGCGGAACTCAAATCAAGGGGAATAACATCCCTAGAAAGAAGACTTTCTCTTTTAACAGAGGGGGGAAGCACTAGCTGACCCTCACTTCTAAAAGCAAAGAGCATATAGACTCATCGGACTCTCACTCTACTCATAGCACTAACTCGCCTTAGCAACTATAGCTCGTCACTCTTAACTGAGAAGGTAGGCCTTGTCTTAATGTAAGTTCTATGTTCCAAAAAGATCAATCAAGTCGACTAGAAGTATCAAATAAGAATGAAGGCAAGTCAATCCCTTATGGAGGGAAGCGCCCCTTCCATGGTTTGAATTCCTTTCCTTCGACTGCCTCTGACTTTGGACTGAGATATCCTGAGAGCCGCTCTAGCTGCTATAGAAAGTAAGTAAACTCGCGAGAACCTTACCCTTGCCTTGTGTCTTGACTCATAGTCCGGCAACTCTCCTCATAGCGCATAGCTAAGCACTATAAGACCCAAAATAGCAACCAAATGGAAAGAACCTGGGAACCCAATATCAACAACAACCTATCATCAGCGGATACGAAAGAGACTCTCACTCGGGAACTAAACCTAACAGAATCGGTGACTCCTTATATGTAGGATAGATATCTCTGTGTCTAACGACTTTGCCCCGTGGGCCCTGCACTAGTAGGAATCAGACTAGGAAGAACAGCAGCTTTTCTTTACACATGGGTAGGCTGGAGAAAGCCCCTATCTGTAAATCCAAGCCATCTTTCTTCCTTATCATCCGGGAACTCCACGAAGACGAGACTCATAGCAGCAGGAGTTGATCTTTACACAGCGGTAGTTGCTCGCCTTAGACCGGAAGACGTCACTCCAGCGGGAACTGCAAAAGAATAGCATGCGCTCGAACAACAGGGATCAATTCATTCAGCAGACCAAGAAGATGAATGAAGAAGATTTGCAATCACATCTGCTCAAGGAACTGTTCTTCTTGAACTCGGTAAAGCAGTTGATGCTTACTTGATTGCTGGTGATTATTACTTGATTGCAGTTGAGTATGACTTGATTGCGGGTATTGGCCTCAACCAACCTACTAATAGGAATGTGACCGTCCTCTAGCCCTAGTTGGAACTGCCCTTTCCCGAGAAGAATAGGATACTAGCGGATATAGCTAGTAAATGGAACTCCAACTCCCTCGCTCCTAACTCAACTATGCCCGGATAACCTACTAAAGAACTTCATTCGTTGGATACATGTGTTTTCTAACATGGCTTCCTGATCAGAGCGAGGGAAAGGCGCTACTGCCCAGTTCTTTTTGCATTCTTTCAGCCCCTGTTAAGATAAGAGGATTGTAGCGAGCGTATCCCTATTAATAAGCGTTAGTGAGCGCAACGTTTCACTCCCATTTTAAGGGCTAGGTCCTCAGATCCGTAGATTATAGAGGTGTTTACTCTTACCATTAGTTGAAATCCCGCTATTAGTTATTAGTTGGTATCCCCCGAAGCAGGTATTTGGCAGGTGAGGGCAACCAGGCAACCCTCAGTTACTAGCTGTGGATAGGAATAGGATCCGGGTACAAAGATGATGGAGGTCCTTCTTCCACCTCTGGATCCAGACAAGTCGCAAGCCTTTGGCACTGATGTAGGGCGAGCGGCCGCAACAAGGAAAGAGATAGATAGATAATTCACGCTTGTACTTCGTTATTTCCTGCGGATTTCTCGTCTCGTTACTTCTCTCTGATCGTGATTTCCCACGTGCCGTACCATACCGCTCAGGAAAACAAAGAAGAACCAGGCTAGGCTACTCCTGTTCCCCTTTCTGAATCAACTTGTCCTTGCGCTTAAAACTTGCGAGCGAGTGTCGATCGCTCCTTTGCCTGGGCAAGATCTGACGACTCCTGCCCAAAAATAGATTGGCGGGTTACGAATTCAGATTTGCTACTGCCAAAGAGGCCAGGAACGAGCTTCCGCTTTATCTAAAGAGAAAACCTATTCCTTTCTCTCTTCCTGATCAGCGGATTCAGAGTGATCAGGTGAAGCCCCCCTTCTCTTCTCGTTGGCACGGATGAATCAGTTACATCTTGTTCCTACTACTACCGAGTAGAGGACATTTCATTCACAGACCTTGATCTTTAAGGTGAAAGTGGGCCTTAGCTGCAAGTTAATCAAAAGGGCCTGATTTACCCGTTCTCGTTGGATGACCGGCCCATTCTTAGACTTGGTGAACTCCTGTCGCGATGAATTAAACTCCGTTCCATGCCCCGCTGCTTGTCAATCACATCGGAAAGTCGTTGGGTCGGCGGAGACCTCTTTCGGCAAAGAATTATACAACAAAGCCCGATTCGAATCATTATGCTCATAGGGGAAGCTCCAATAGAAAACAGCACTACTGCTAGTAAGATAGCGATCCAGGCAAGCGCCAAAAAAGGGGGCACAAGCAAGCACAAGAATAAAAGCAGGCAAGGGCGTGTGAAGGTTGAAAAAAAGAAAAGTGAAAGGGGCATAGAGCACAGCTTCGATTCATTTATGTGATTATTGAATCCCAACTTAACGAACAAAGGGAGGAAGTCGATCTTGTTGGTACGGTACCATTGACTAAACTAAACACCGAAAGAATATCGATTTCAAACAGCAAAGCAATAAAGTGAGTTCAGGATTGATAATAGAGTGAATAGAAAGAGAAAAAACACATGGTTACGCTTTCGAAGCTAGCTAGCTTAAGTTAAGCCGTTGCGCGCAAGGGCGCTAAGAGCATCACTGCATTCATTAAGACAGATTGAAAGTCTGTAGTTGACAAGAAAAATAGGCAATGAAAGGTATTCAAGTGACGTTGCCTATTTTTCTTGCTACGGTATCGAAGCTTCGGCTTAGTCACAATCTACCTTCCCTCTTGTTTCAGAGGGAATGTTAGGAGTTCCCCTTATGTGAGGAGTGAGTCACGAGTGAGGAAAGCTCTATCAAAGGTATAAGAGTGGACTTCTAACTAGTAGCTAGTCTGAGGTAAACGACTGAACGATTGGTAATTGAGTTCAGGACTGGTAATTGAATCATAGACTAAGCATTGTGAAGAGCTCAACTTATTATAATGAATGCAATGATTCTGGGCAATTTCCGAACTCTAATGAGGAACGGAGAATCACCCATTAAAGCTGTGGAAGTAGGGATTTAAGCATTCATTAAAGCAAAGTAAACGGTTGATTGCGCGGATAAGCTTTCTTTCCTTCTAACGAAGGCAAGCCGTTAGTCAAGAGGTTAGTTACCAGTTCTTCGTTCATAGGTACTCCCTTGCTCCACCTTTTCGGCCTAGTAACTCTCTCGCCTTATAGCTAGGAGTGTTCAATAAGAGTTGTGAGTGTGAGTGACTCTAAAAAGAGAACAAGCTGTCAAGAGTGAAGTCAACAGAGTCGGTATCAACACCTAAAGTCGGCAATCACTCTCTGTCCAAAGTTAGGAGTTCCGTTACTAGTCATCGACTCTTTGAGTCGGGAAGGACAGTGTAACCATCCCTCGTTAAGAGGGAAACTGCTTCTAATGCTATTTAACTGGGCAATTTCATTACTTTAATTCAGCGGTCAAATCTATCTTAAAGCGGAAAGACAGTTCGCTTAAGCTCGGGCAAGGTAAGCAAGAGCGCGCGCTAAAGACGAATAGCCAAGCAAAGGGAAGGAACAGATTCGATACTAAAGAGCAATAGGGCACTCCTAAGCGAAGAAGGCAGTGAGCTCGGTTCAGGAACTTGCCTGCATGAATGAATCTTTCGAGAAAGCACGGTGCTTTGTAAACCGTCTAACAAGTGTCTTGTGAAGTTAGCGACTATAGTTTCGTTTTCGGGATTGGATTACTTCCCTGCGTTAGAGGGAGTTATGAGTGAGTAGCTACTATGGTAAAAGCCCCATATGCTATCAGATTCATAGAGTCTTTATTGCAGGAAAGTGGAATAGGTATATATGTGGATTTGTAATTGGGAATTCCTCTTTCAAGACAAGACAGAGTGCAGTTAGCGACTCAGTCCACAGATTCGGCTTAGTAACAGATTAACAGAGTCGGGTTAGCAGTCCTTTATCAAAGATACTGATCTAACCTCCCCTTTGTAGAAAATGAGGAGGTCATCCGCGAAACAGGGGTGTGTGATGCTCTCTTTCTGACATCTCCAATGGAACCGAAACTGCCCTTCATTAACCATGCCATTAAGCATTCCAGAAAAAGCCTCCATTACTAGTACGAAGAGGTAGGGCGACAAAGGATCACCTTGTCGAAGCCCCCTTTCCCCAGGGAAGAAACCATTTAGCTCACCATTAATACTAATGGAAAACCTGGTTGTAGAAATACACTCCCTGATCCACTGCAGCATGATCCCAGGAAAGCCATCAAAGCGCACTAAGAGAAGGTAAGCAGAGGAGAAGCAATATTGAACATCTCTCTCTTCATCTTACATACGATGATAGGGAGTTTGAACAGCTAGAAGCCATCCCCTTCGCCCTTCGCACGCCCTATCTAGCCCAGTTCTGGCAGCTAGTTTCAGGAAACAACCGGCATCTAATTGAATTGATGATTTCTCCCCGTCTTGAATAGAAAAAGTAGAAGCTGCTTGATCGAGAGGTTCCGGAGCTGATAGCATTTTCCTTTCTTAGGGTCGGGGAATGATTCCCGGTTGAACGGAACCTTTAACTAGACTTTCGGGTGCATTCCTGACGGAGGTCCTCCACTTTGGTATTCTAAAACAATACGTACTTTTAGGAAGAATTGAGGCTCATTATGTGAACAACGGTATGTACCGCAGCTTTTCATTCAATGCTAGCTAGCTTTCTTAGTTGTTTAGCCTAGGCTTTTTGACTATTGAATCAAATTCCTCTATACTTGGTCACCTGCTTGGCAAAGCGCTATTCTTAATAGGCACCAATTTCACGTTACTAGCCTTATGCTTCGCCCATCTCTATATGCCACGGGGAATCGATCGGTTGAATCCGCTATGCACCTTTGGTTCGGTGGTATCCTGTATATAGGATCAAGGCAGATTAAAGGAAGGAATTGATAAAGCGACAGTGAGTTGACATGACATTCAAAGCCTTCTCTTAGAAAGGTGTAGATTAGGTAGGTGTTCGGTGAGTGAAAGATCTGACATTTCAACTAACGAGTGAAAGGAAGATCCATTAGAGCCAGAGGCAGAGCAAGGCGATTCGGATGAAAGTGATCCCCAATCCTCGCTCGGTACCAAGGGTAGAACTTCATGATTGATTCGGTGTAACCGGTCTTTGATCAAGGGGTGAGACCCTTACCTATTGCAGGAAAAAGTGCAGTTCAAGCACTTTGCTTTGAATCACAAACAGATATTATTAAGATTCGGCATTCCCGATCTTCTATCTTTCCTGCAGGCATGGAAATCAAACTGGAATGAGACCTTCCTTCTGATTCTGAGATGCCGAGAACCTGGTCTTCTTGTTCACGCCTCAGCTGCAAAAGAAAGAAAGAGATCTTCTTTCCCGAAAGCCTATAAGGAAGAACTCTTAACTAAGAAAAAAGGCTAGACTTCTGGATGAACTTCTTTGTGAGTGAATACCGAGCCAGCTCTGACTTATTGATTTGATGCCGAGAATCCGATCTGCAGATGAAGCAGAAGCAGGCAAAAGGCCAGCGAGGAATTTGCCATACTAGATCGACTCTTAATTACCGAATCGACTCTGAACTCTGTTCTGTTCATGGTTGGCTGTAAACAAATAGTCTCTTTAGTCCCTACCCAACTCTATGGATTTTCCTTAGTTGCTCTTAACCCAGCTCGGGACGGGAGGGTCTCAAACCATTGAAAGCGGATGGATGCTGAATTATAGACAGTAGATCCAGTATCTCTCACAGATGAAAGAAAGGAAGCAGAGAATGAAGAGAGGATGTGACTACTACTAATACCTGTGAAAAGTGTATGTACGGGTTGAAAGCAAAAATTCCACTATCTTCCAGACTGAACGAGATGGGGAGTGGCTTTCTCTCCTACGCTCGTCGCCTAGCATCACTACAAGAGGGAAGGAGCCAGTTTCAGTAAGAAATCCCCCCTCATTAATGGTGCCATCCCACTTCCAAAGAGAAGAGAGCTACCAAGTCGTGCATTTCTTCATAAAGTCAGGAAGTCTCCCCTGGCTTTCTTTCTTGGTTCCCTTTCCCTTGTTGCCTATGGAGTGAGTTCGTTGATGGCAATGAGCCTCGCCCTGCTAGCTCGCTAAGTGAGTTTGCTTTCCCTTCCCTCCATGACAGCCTTTAGGAAGGCATGGTCCCAGGGCAGTCCAGTCCTAAGTTCTCCTATAAGCTACAATCTCATTCTTAAACCTGCCTATCGTCCCAGACGATTATTAAGATTCTTCTTTTCATCAATTCTACGTGCAAAACAAAAGCGTCTAGCTATAGGACTCATAATCAGACTTGAATATGTTCTTTTTAGTGAATTCCCCGTTTAAGAAGTTCGTCTGGCCTTCTGCCTGTGCCTCTCTGTAGAGAAGAAGGCTTAGATAGTCCACTCATTCTCTGTTCTTGTTTTCTGTATCTCTTTGGGAGGAAGTACCCCCCTCTATTCTCCCTCTTTCTTTCGGTCTTTTGGGGCTCTTCTGGTGTCTTTAGGGTCTCTCCTCCTGTCTTTCCTGCTGTGTTTTGCGATGGTTATGTGGACTCGCAACAGCTTATGTATCACTCATAGTTGAGTCATCACAGAGTTTGCCTATATGAGGTTTCTTAGAGGGAAAGTTATACAAATAGGTAGTGTTAAGCATCAAAGTCATAGACACAAAAGAGGTTCTATGAACGAACTACATAACTACAAGAGTAGACTGCAAGCAACCTGAATAACCTAATAGATAGAGAAGCTTTCCCTGTGGTTTCTTTCTCGTGAGCTAGGTGTTAATAGAAAACAAAAAAAGGCTCGGTTTCTAAGTCAAGACTAAGGCGATCTCTCGCTCCTGCTCTTCTGGCTTGCTGCTCTTGTTAGGTGAGTTCTGTCTCGGAAGACGGCCGATCCGCGTCTGGAAGTAGCTGCTAGCTTCACCTGAGCTCCCGTCCTCAGTCTGTTTTTAACTCAAACTCAAAAGTCGGGGTTTTGGTTTAAAGGATATAAATCGATCGCCCTTTCTTGTACTGAAAGAGGTGCCCAACCCTAAACTATGGGGGGGTAGTTCCCTAACAGCAGGATTAGCTTCTCGAGAATGTATCCTAAGGTTCGTTCTTTTCTCATAGCAACATAAAGAAAGCGAAAGTCAAAGTCTATAGCAATGGGCCTCCTACGTCGAACTTCTTCTGCATTTCTTTCCCGAAGTCGTGGGTTGTTTTGTTATTCTATGCCTTGATCTTGCTTTCCTAACTGTAAGTGTAATAAGGTAGCTCTTGAAGGCAGGCTGCTTTCTCATTGGCCCCATTCCTAGATGGTAGATCATACTACTCAGACTTTACTGCATGGTCTTCTCCTCTAGTTTTGTATCTTGGCTTTGCCGTCCTGACTTCCCTACTATATGTAGAGATCTCCCAGTGGCTTGGTTCTCGTGGAGCTAAAAGGCGGGGGTATGGTTTTTAGGATCGAAATGGATCGCCCTTTCTTTTAGAGCTAAGTAGCCCAGAACCCCAGGTTCTAAGATCTATTACTAAAAGGTAGGCTAGGAGGTTCTCGTACTGCCCTACAAACTACGAAGAGGAGACTGACATCCCCAGGACTACCCGATTTAGTATATTGAGGGATAGCTTTCCGGCTTCTTTCTCCTGAGCTAGGCTAAAAGAGAGGTACAAGATAGGAGAAGATCCCCGAGGGCTTCCTTAAGTCAGGAATAGAGTGGGTCCTTGTCCCTGTTCCTAGGGATCTAGTTTGTTTCTGTGAAAAGGCGGAAGACCCTACGTCCGTTTGCCTGCCCTGAGGGACTGACTTTGTTCCAGGCAATAAGCAGGAAACCTTAAGTGCACTTGTAGCCCCTCGAGGGAGTTGGCTTGCCCGTGAGGAAGGGACCATTTCTTATATGGAGAGATGTCCCTACGGCTAATTTATCCTAGCTTCATAAAGAAAAGAGAAGGTCAAGGTTTGAATTCCTAGCTTTGAGACTACTACTACGTCAAATGACTGAACCTGGACAGACTTCTCTTTTCAAACTAAGCCAGGCTGCCTGCGTACCGTATTGGATCAAGTTACACGCAGTTCTTCCTACTTACTAAGAGAAATTCGTCCTGTAAGGGTAATGAGCGGTTCACCTATGATGCCTGCTTTGCCGGGCTTCCCCTACCGGACAAGCAAATTAAGGAAATGTGAATGAGTTATATCTGCTATGCCGATCGAAATACGAATAAGATCAGAAAGGCCATCATTGGGGCAAACAATGCAATTGCTTCGGTGGATCCGGACCATTCCATTCACCTAGTATCATTCTTCATCTCCCACGGCTAGGACAGTCCTCTACTCCGACAGCTAGTTACTGAGATTATGAATCTGAGCTTTTTGAATACAGTCAAAGTGGGACCTCCCTTGTTCTCGCATTCCTTGCCTTTGCCCGGCCTTCAAAGGCTAGTCATCATTAGCTCATTGGCTTTCTTTCTGATAGCTTTCTCCCCGGCTAGGAAATTCGATGAGTCATCGTAGGGGCTTCTTTTACTTCAAGCCCACCCTCCTTCAAATCCAGATCGGAAAATTGCGTAGATTGAGATGCAGCTCTTTGATCTCCACTTGGGTCAGCAGTTGAACTCGTTGCCGAAGACCTTGAAGCTGCTCTTGCTGACTTCCTTCCCGTGGGACTTTCCCTCGTCAACTGGGGAAATGGGCTCCGATCCTCTTTCTATTCTATAGCTGTCTATTGAATAGAGGTCGGTGCCAGTGGAAGAATGGAATCAAGAATCAATTGAGCTGCTTGTCGTTCGAGTGCTGGAAAAAAAAACATATAGCCGCTGCTTCCATAAAAGCTCATCTGATTCCTGAATCTGGTTCGCTCCGAGGGTTAGGATCAAGGGCTGGTCGAGTGGCTACGCTCCTTGGCAGTCCTAGTTGGGTTGAATTTGAACTGCTTGTCTCAGACCTTATTCTCCCCCTGTAGCCCGTTGGTGAGGAGTTGAGGGAAATTCCAGTTTTTTCTCCTCGGTTGATAGCTTAACAGAAGATAAAAACTGACTTCCGCTGCTTCTGGTCGCGCTGCTACTTCCGACTGTGCTGATTCGGGCATTCCTCCAATGCTGGGAGTATGATAAAGCCCCGATTCGATCAGTTCCGTTGCCCAAATCGAATGTTCTACCTGACTCAATCCCCTTCTTCATGAATGGCTTACGAGTGAGGATGCCCAGTCTCGGAACTGAGATTATGAATCTGAGCTTTTTGAATACAGTCAAATTCCTCAACTGCCTTTTCTTTTGCTTTGGCGGGAAGGAAGGCTGGCACAAAAGAAACATCGGCTTCGGGCCGGACCCTTAGACTAGTCCTATCGATCTGACAAGAAGAAGGGAGGCATCTAAAGGGGGAAGAGTCTATCATGTCGGAGGTCTAAACTACACTACCTTAGATATGCAATTTGAAGATCTTTATGTTCCGGCCGATTGAATTTCAGGAGAAGTAGAGGCCTAAGCGTCCCAAACAGATTCATTAGGTTTAGGTTAATGGGCGGCAAGAGATGCCACATCTAGGTCAGCCACATTAGCAGTTTCAGCAGAAGAAGCTTCAAGTCGCTCAACCACCGACCGGGAGAGAGGCGAAAAGGCTCAACCGAGGAAGGAGCTAGATCTATTCTCAAATCCTTGTCCTTTGCCAATGCCAAAGACATACCAAGGGCTCAAAGCCACTTCTTCATCGACAGGTTCAGGCGCGAAGTGAACCAAACCAATAGCAGTAGGTTCAGCAACGGATCGGGGAAGACATTCACTGACCTACTTGGCCGGAGTTCCCACAGCAGCCATTCTTTCGGCAAGCCCCCGTCAAGCCCTTGTTAAGCTTCTTCAAGCGGAGCACGGCGCGCAAGAGAAGGGGCACTAGTTGAAGAAAACCGCCATGGAACGGATTCTTTCTAACCTGCTGAACTTTCTCAATCGACCTAGATGAAGTCTTGAATTCAGTCAGTTCGGGTGAAAATAACTTCCCCTTTGCCAACGATATCCCAGAAGTTCGCCGGCTCGACCTGAGGGGGTGCAACTAGCCCATACTTTCTATAAAAAGTCCCTTGACTACTATACTTGATTAGCGAGAAAAGGATCTTGATCTATGAGTTCTCAAATTCTCTTTCTATATGAGTGATCAGAGAGGGATGTGCCGATCAAGGACGTATTGAATGGAAGAGAATCATGAGCTACCCTTCTGAATGGCAAAGATGCATCAGCCACTTCATTTTCTAAGATATTCTTAGTTATTTGGTTGGAATCAAAAAGCCTTTCTTTTTTTCCAGCAGCTCGACCTGAGGTAGATGAGCGTAACAGAATAGAAAGGGGCAAAGCAATGGAACTGGCATCTACTTGAATTGATTCACATTCGATTATGTCTGATAGTCAGGATCAGAGCATAGCATTGATTCTTAACCCCATCGAACAAGCAATCAAGCTAGGATTCATGCCGCTTGACCACTAGGTGAATGGGCAGAAAGGGCAAGTCGGTCTGTCCGGACTTCAACAAACACACTTCAAGCATTTCCGGGTGCTGCCAACCAACCCAGCAGGTCTTAGATCTCGACTTCTATCATCGGGACAGCTGGGTCAAAGAGATGAGTTTAAAGGCTAAGTCAGCCACCTAAAAGAAAGTCTTCTTGACTAACATAAGGTCCGGCTTTGCGCGAGAATAAGGTCTGAGACCAGCACTAGAATGACAAGCAGAAGGAGTAGCGAAGGTAGCCCTGCCCTTTTTCGGCTTAGAGCGGAGCGGAGAAGAATGAGTTGGATATACACCAGCCACTTCCTTAGCATTTCTTCTTTGCCACAACCACAGCTACGGCTAGTAGTATTCATAGGGTCCTTTGATCGCATTCTTTGCCGCTGAAGAGTCTGATCCCCTTCTTTCCCAAGAAGGGGATCAGAGATCCTACCAAACAAAGTCATCTGTCCCATCACGACGAAGTCTCTATCTTTCTCCAGCCAGAGATTGCAATCGCAGACGAGGAGCATATCTTTCAGTGAGGGCTAAATGTTGACCACTTGTTGATCTCCGCCTACGACTACATGCGATAGCTACCAGTTCTGTGCCGAAGGAGACAACGATGGCTGCCCACGTGTTGACCACGCCTGTGACAGAGCACACCATGTCGGCGGGAGATCCGACAGTGACTCATCCTTCGTCCGGAGGTACCGAAGATTCGATGCTGTCACCCTCAGAGCTTTCTACCCGCAGATGTCAGAAAAGAGCTTCCACTTTTGGTAGGGCAACTAAGCACGCTTCGCCACATTAGTTCCTTCGACAGGCTTTTTACGACTTCAACCGTTCCATGTGTAGTTGTTAACTCAACGATCCGCACCATGTGGTGCCAAACTTCTACCTTATAGTTACTACCTTTGGTGTACTAATCGCCCCCTTTTCAATCGGGGTTTACTTTTGAGACAGTTTTTCCAGCTTCCTCTAGATCAAAATCTAAATCAAAATAAAAGCAGAAAGCAGGGTGGCTTGAAATTCATGCAATAACCAGTTCATATCATATAAAGGGCTGGAGCTACTTTCTTTGTTTTTGGTTAACAAACAAGGGTGATCCCTTAAGTGCGCTGTTAGCTCGATAAGGTAGGCTGCTTCCCCTTCCCTCCATTGAAGACAGGACTGGTCCAAGCTCCTTTCCTTTCCAATATGAATATGAGCTCCCCGAGTGCTCTCTTCCTGGCTTTAGGATGTAATGATCTACGTTCCTCCCTCAGGGAGTGACTTTGTTAATTGGAATATGCCTCATATCTTAAGTTGACTGGTAGCTCTTTAAAGGGAGGATGCTTTCCCCAACCCTAAACTATGGGGGGCTAGCTCCCTAAAAGAGGGATTGGCGAAGACATGATCAACAATGAAAGTCGGCTAATGTTGTGACTGGTTTCCTTCAGAGCGCTGTCCCTTGTTTTGGTGAGTTCAGTTTTGTTGCTACCATAAGTGTCATCTAGTCGCACGTACCACCCGTCCGTCCTTACCTTATCTATATATTCTAACAGCAAGAGGAGCCTCCCTCCCCCTCGCAATTCTCCTCCCTCTGACCTCTCTACCTAATCGTCTTCCCTTAAAAACATCGTAATGTGATGCAAGCTGATCTACATTTGAGAACTATTCCTACTGTGCTTTAAACATGTGGTAAGTTGAATCCTATTGAAAGCTAAAAGAAAGGTCAGCGTTTTCCTTTGCTTGCGGAAGCTTTAAAGCGAATATTCTTAGCTTGTGTCTTCAGTATCCAACTACATAAGTATTCAAATAAGGAGATCAAAGCCCCCAACAATCAATCCCAGGGAGCTGCTTCACCTTCTATCCTCCCCCACCTTTCTCCAGTATCTCACTGCCTGAGACCCGAAGTAAGTAGCCACAAGGGAATCGCGAAGGATTCAATCCAGTCAAGGGTTTCCTCCGCCCCTTGACTACCTTATGAGACCACAGTGGGGAAAGCTCATCTATCAATCTAGACCGAAAGCATTCTCACAACATTGTGTGATAGGGTTATAAAATGCACTCAACTATATCATCAAATCTTCTACTGGTATCTTCAATGCTTCTTCGCAACCCAAGGTTAATGCTAAAAAGGCAACAAAGAGTACCGCAATAGTATGCTTTCTGTTTAGATTTTGATTGATATCCAGGGGATCGAAGGTTATTCTTTCTAAGTATTCTTTTGATTCCGAGTTTACCAGGTCAGTCAGGGGAATACCCCCTATAGTACCATTCTCATCGGGGGTACCTTTTTTTAATACGGTTGATATTCCCATTACCTTTCTCCATATCTTGATCCAGATATGATCAAGGCAGGATTCAGGCAACTGTTCAATTACAAACTCAGGCAATGCAGTCCACCAAATTATGAATCCAATGGCTAATGGAATACATACTTGAAAGGTCGATTCCCTAAATCTGGCAACAGATTTTTCAAGAAAGACATCCGCCGCGTCAAAGAAGATGTCATCTTGTTTCGATGGATAAGGTTGTATTCGAGTGTGATTTTTAGTGATGCCCAGTAATCCCACTTCTGGTTCTCTTTTGATCACCTGGATGGCTTTTCCTTTCCCACTTTGTAGTACATTTTTTTCACCAATGGCCATTAATGAGAGGGGGTGGCTTGTTCCTATCAAAGTTTTCCACCTTTGGAAAGGATGCTGGTCTCCTCGAGGAGATGTATTCTCACCATAGGAACCAACTTCCTTGCTTCTTTTCATTGAAATGTTCTTTTTTTCAGAAACCTTCTTCATTCTTATTGGAAGGATCTTTCCTTGACTTGAAGTAGGTATCGTTGTCATTTTGGATTGAGGCTGAGCACTACCTTTACCTTCTTGGGGTTTAGGTTGATACTCATATTTATCAACAATGACACCTTTAGCTACTTTAGCTAGTTTAGCAACAACTGACAACATGTTAACTATGAAATAATTCAATTCTTATTCCCGCTGCTCTTTTTTAGGTAGCAGCAAGAATTTGAGCAAAGACTATATGAAATGGACCTGGTGTTTTGCACCAGGAAAGACATGGGAGTTGTTAAGCATGAATTGACACATATGTTACCATTTGCAGACGAGAAAGCGTCTTCTCACTAGATTGAATAGGGTAAACAACACAACAATAAGGGAGTCTCTAATGCAAGATACGTGAAACGTTACTAAGAGACAAAAATCCATACTCTCTTCTGGCTAGGTTTAAGTTGTGGAGGTTTCCAGGTCGTAGTGAGGGGGAAGGTAATCATAGCTATTTATTTGACTTAACCATTAGGATAGCCTAACCTAAAAGTGTATGTCTAATCTAAGATCTTTTCCTTCACTTTGATTTTGCCGTCTTGGCTGACACAAACTAGACCGCCATAACAAGGCACAGGTGCGTCTCCCGGTCCAATAGAAAGGATTTTACCAGCCAAATGGAGTTGGTCCAATAAGCTGAGTACTTGTTGTTCGTCGAAGAACGACAATTGCATTGCCTCGCTTTCCAACGACAATTGCATTGCCTCGCTTTCCAAGGTCTTTCCTTGCTTACTTGAACAAGTATTAGATGTGCTTATCTTGGGGCAAGAAAGAAAAACTTCATGTATATACCTACTATAGTCTACCCCAGGAAATGCACGCTGAAACTCCTTATCGAACTCGGTTAAGGCAAAATTGAGTAGTACATGTGTTAGAAGTCCCACGGTTGGGATACTACATCCCATCTCGGCAGTGAAGTCTCTTCCACTTTGATCCAAGATTGGCACGGACAGGAATTTGTCGACGAATTCAATAATAGCCCCATCCTTCACTATATGTGACAGGTTCAACAAAAGACTCTCTCGATTTATTGTCCTCAGGGAGATTGTTAGGTCGCATTTATAAAGCCTTAAGACCTTGCCTCTCGCGCATACTGTACTATAAAATGCATTTGGTGTTGTTCGCAAACCAAAGGATTTATCAGTGAAAAGGTTTACCCTGAGAAAATGAAGGTTTAACATACGCCCGAGCGCCGTTAGCACAAGGCTGTCTTCTAGTGTAGGATTGATGCCCAAATAGAGATTTGACTCATCCTTGGCTGGAAAGGTGTGGAAGAACCCAGGCTTTTGGTCTCCCTTTCTGGCGAAGGCGCGAAGGAGAAGCGGCGACAGGGTGTATGTTCCATCCTTTACGCTTTTCTGAATTTCTCTTACCTTTTGTTCCGTCAATTCCACAAAAACATCCGGTAATTCATTGTATGTCATCCCGATAGCGTACGCAAGCCGATGCAACGAACAAAATGGATGAATCTCATCTTTGTAGCTACTCAAATATCTACTCCTAGCCTTGTGAAAAGTAAGAAACATATCATTCTTCATTTTTGAACTCATGATTACTCTTTATTCTTTAAACCTTCCCTCCATAAATTGTTGGCATAGTTCCGTTCCGCCGACGGTTATATAGGATACAGTGCTCAATAGACAAACAGCGAGGCAGGAAATCACTAGTTTCCGTAGTACTACTTTGTGGGTTTCCTCTCTTGCTCTTATTCCCAAGGGGTCGAAGGTTCCCGTCTCGTTCGACTCTGCGCTGGTACCACACCCCGAGGTGCTGGCCCCACCTGTTTCGAGTGTGCTCCCGGCGGCATGCATGAGACTATGACTTAGATCCTCGCACAGTTCTTCGGCGAGCTTGATCGTCTGGGGGGACCATTCTCGTGTGCTATCCTTGAAGGATTTGTAAAAATCTGGGCTTAGGATGAAATGGAAATCATAATTACCAATGGTCAGCATAAGGCTTGGCATTAAAGAGTACCAAATTTGAAACCCCAAGCAGATAGCTTGATTCATGGCAGCTGTGTTAGCTGTGAGAACATCAATGTAGTGCCTAATCGCCTCGTATTCGTACCCCCTCCATATGAAATTTGAGAAACCCTGGTTAATGCTTTGGTGAGCTTTTAGATTTCGTAGCTCTATTGTTTTATCAAGATCTGACCTGCGCTTTTGTAAGAATTTATGTATACACTTTTGAGTAGTATACACTGGCACGATTTTCACAGGTTTGACTCTGAAGTCCCTATCCTCAACTCTACTACTAAGCTTTCCTTGTCCTGTTAGTACAAATAAGCGAGAATAATTCCTCTTGACTAATGAAAGAAGACCTTCTGGCGTACTTCCCTGGAACGCTCTCTGTACTTTTTGTAAGCACCAAGTCTCTTTATTCATGCTTTGATTGTTGAATCGTTTCATAGGATACCAATGGAATCTCTCAACCGCCTTATCAATTGCTATTTTACGTGTGATACCCTCTTGATTCTGATCTCCCTCGGTATTCTTAAGCATTTCGTGGTTTCTAAACAGAGCTGATTTCGTCATTTGCTGGAGAAACGTTAACATGGTTATATTTTCATTGAGTATTTCTTTGAGTTTGTATGTCACTTTGCTCACATAGCAACTTATATGGGAACATACCTTTGAGTTTCGTTCGATGTCATCCTTTGAGTTACGTTCGATGACATTAGTGTTCGCTGCAATGCTTCTCTCGTTTGAGCGTTCGATGCCATCCTTATTCGCTTCGCTGCAATGCTTCTCTCGTTTGAGCGTTCGATGCCATCCTTATTCGCTTCTCTCGTTTGAGCGTTCGATGCCATCAGTGTTCGCTGCAATGCTTCTCTCGTTTGAGCGTTCGATGCCATCAGTGTTCGCTGCAATGCTTCTCTCGTTTGAGCGTTCGATGCCATCCTTATTCGCTTCGCTATGCTATGCTTCTGTTATGAAATTTGAACGCGACTTCAAGGTATTTTCTCTTTTTTTTTGTAGATGATTCTCTTATCACCCTAAGCCTTACCCTGGGTATTTATATGGATTAATGTGTGATAGGCAGCGTATTTCTTTTCCTATCTACCCTTCCCCATCATTAGCTTACGAGTTGGGAAGCAAAGGCTCACACGACCAATCGTCAAAATATAACTTAGATGGGACAGGCTGTGGGTTCCAAATTTATAGGTGTGATAGATATTTATCTACAGAAGTATTCCCATACGGGCTATGCGGGGGGAAATCATTTTTTTCCCCTAAAGATCGCCATTAATGAGAGGGGATTTTTTGCTTCTTCCTTTATTCCTAGCATTGATAGCTTAAATATCCGCTTCGAACTATGCCAACCAATGTTGTTCTTCTCTCGTTGAGTAACGTAATGAATGATTCGATTCTGGGATCTCCACCCTCCCCAACCCTACCTTAGACCGGAAAGAGATACGTTTGCTCTTCTGCGGGGGCTGCTCCGACCTTCCGGAAAGAGGATTTATTTGTTCTGGATCCTGAACCTGTGACCTAGCAACAATGAGTGTGGTGCTTGGGTTGCCTCTTGGAATGGGTGACCAGCAAAGAGGGATGTTATCCAATCCTCCTACCGAACCACCCCAGTTACACCGAGCAGTCTGCAACAGAGACTCAGAAGACTCATGGCAAAGTAGGAAGTCTAGATGCTATCATAGATGCTCTTAGGGAACCTTAAGGCATAATAAGTCCAATAGCAAGCATTGGCTCATCCAGCTACCAAGAGCTGCTAAGGACGCTTACTAAGACATTCTGGGTGCACAAGCATAGGAGTAGGAACTCGTAGCTCAGAGAAATAGAAAGTCACTAGCATTGCTAACAAGGCTTCGGCGAACAAGCGGTAGGGAAACTTATAGAAAGGGAGCAAACCAGTTCAAGTCAATGAGAACAAAGAAGTAAGAGCATTGGCTCAGAGAGCTCATAGCTCAAGCAAGGGAAGAGTAGGATATCTTAGTTAGGTTGCTCATCGGGGACTGAACTGGAATATCATCCTCGTGCTCGACATCATCCCTCGCTCTTCCCTCAATCAAAGCGGGAAGAAAACAGAAAGGCATGCTTTTCTCTCTCTTTCACTTACCTAGCGGCCTGCCCCTTTTCAAAATTCTAATTTTTTTTGGTTATGTTTTCGTCAATAAGGAGGGCGAGATAGAAATAAAAGTACTATCGCTGTCACTTTTGCTACCAGATCTAACTCCTCCACTCTTTTCTTTTAGCGCTTCGGAGGTATTGGAAAGAACTGCCTCTCCCTTCATCACTTCTGCATAGGCTGAATTTTCATACTTCGGGTTCGGCTTCCACATACGAGTCGACCCCCGTAGCTTCGGTCCCGTATTGTCTTCAGCATCTTTCAACTGTGAAGGACCTTCGTCTTCTCCTGTACGTCCTTGTTGTGAATGTTGACCAGTCGACTCCTTCTTCGTACTGTTGAACCTTGTACACTGTTGAGAACTATCGCCCTGTGACAATTCTCTTCCCACAACAAAGGGCTCCACCACTCTTGAAACAGTCTTAGATTGACTAGATCTACTTTCTGCCTCCTTTGACTCTTCTTACTTGAGAGAAAGATGAACCTCGCCTCTAAGCTCCTGATAATCTGGCAGTACAGTCTCTGACGTCTTTCTGAGAGAGGAGCTACGGACAAAAGTGGATAATCAGGCCATTTTCCTTTATCATTTGACAAGATCTTTCATCACCCCCTCTTATCATCATAATGACATGCCAAAAAACGTAGAAAAATGGGCAAATCAACTAAAGACCTCTAAAAATAGGAAGCTTGCCTTCACGCCTACACCCTTAGCCAAGTCATCATTCCTCAGACAGTCAATCGCTTCTCTCTCGATCATCTGCCAATCGCTTAGTCTTATAACGAACGGTTATATAAGCGGGATCGGGTTTAGAAGGATCTTTAACAATCCCACAAACCACAACCCCCTTACCCGCCTTCGGCTGGAAAAGGCCGACAGGCGAGACCAAGAAAGACGTGCCATCAACTCCACCAAGAAGCCATGGACCAGATCTCTCTGATCCAGATGAATCTTCTAGGATCGGACACCTAAAAGAGACACCTAATTGACCCACCAAATCAAAAATCTTCCATAGAAGACCGAATCGAACGAGCTCAACGCTCTTCCGATCAGCCTTCCATTTCACATTCACAACTGGCGCATCAAAGAAGGCCTCAATGGATACCCATGGATCCAGTACCATAGTACCAATGACAATAACGCAGCCATTCCCGCATCCATGCACGAAGCATTGACCACTCAAGGAAGTCTTTGACCCCAGGAGCAAGAAAAAAGTGCGTCTGGATTTTGAATCTTGTGGTTTCATCTCCTTCCTTAACAGTTGGATGATGACACCCCGAAGATACGGGCTTAAGGGCAGGCCTCGGCCTAGCCACAGCTCTAGACAGCCATGACCAAACAGAGCTTTATTCCACATCACGAAGAGACGTTCAGCCCTTGCGGACCTACGAGTCTCTAAGCGAGACCGTTGTCGGTACCCCATCCCTCCAACCCTACAGAGGGTCGAAAATCGAGCACACTTATACTTGTGCCCAATAGCGACCAATCCATAAGGATGAAAGAAGTTGCACAGCGATCGGGCCGATACCGGACTTAAGTCCTTGGTAAGCCCTTTCACTCTAAATCGCTTCGCAAACTCAGCACCTCCCGAGTCAGATATCAGAGACTTTTGGTAACTGATACTAACATTCAGTCGATGAAGATTTGCCTCATAGACTTTAGCAACAGAACTGTCAGCGATCACTACGTCGTCACCAAGTACTGCGTACTTAGTGAAGCGGACACCTGGATAAACCCTTTCCGCACACCACTATGTGATGTGAGAGTGCAAAGAGCGGCCATGAAGAGTAATACCCGAGCGGTTGTCCCGCAACAAAAGATACGGTCGACGGCCTACGCTTAACCCATGGAACTTCAAATAAGTTAAGCGCAAGTGCCGAACGCACAGATGAAGCGAACGACCGCACGGCAAATCATTTTAAGTGGGGTGGGTCTAGTTCAAAGTATAGATCCTGGTTCGGGTTGATTCGTTGTACCACTTTATTCATATTCCGATGACAGGCGGTTAACCATAAGTAAGTGAACCAGATCGATTAGGTACGGTCCGACGTAAGTAAGCGGGGACAGCCTTTATCAGCAAAGTGGTCTCATAGCACTTCCCTCGGATTTAGCCAAGGAAGGCACAACGTTGATACACAGTTCATTGATAAATAAACCATGTCACGAGTTTAGCTAAGCAACTAGTTAGTTCAATCAGGACTGCCCTGCTGCAACCTAGGGATCACCTGGTGAATGGTCTCAGGCAAGCATTAAGAAGTGCTCGTGTATTCCACTCTACCTCGGGAAGATGAGCTTGCCGAGTTGGAGATATGTGTATAGAGGCAGGAAGAGAGAACGGGAAAGATGGCCGAGTTTCAACAACTGAACCTAGCCCTATGCCCTAGCCCTATATAGGAGTGAGGGAATGTAAGCGAACAAGGGGGGCAGTTGGCTCGTAAGCTCAAATTCGAAAATCATCGAATCGATTCGAATCGAATCGATAAGGGTCGAAAGAGAAAAAAGAACGGCTTTTTAGGCGGGTTGAACACGCTCTTCGGGTCCCAGGTCATGATACCGATCAAACGTTTGATTTTTTTTATGCCTGAAATTGACATACATCTATCTAAGTAGTGTTCGAGATTCAGATCAGAAGGCTCGAGAGACCTCTATCTAATAAGGGAGTACTAGGGTTGGTTTTCAACCCTTGGTGATCCTTTTTGTCTTGTTTCCGCTCCTCTAGTAAGGTAATGGAATCGAATTAGGTTAGCTCTTTCTAGTCGGCCCCCTAAGCCTAATTCCTGAAAGAATGGAATGGTATTCGCTAGCCTTTCAACCATCGACATATCTGTTCCCCGATCCAAGAGCCCGATCCTTCCACACCCGAGCAAACCAAGTCACGCGTTGCAGGGCCTGCTCTCGCATTTCTTTAATTAGATCACTCCAGTTCGTGATCCGTGGAAGGCTTTGATCTTCTCTTCCCGATTCCTATACCATACGCATCCATCCTCATCTAGAGCAATACTGTGTCCACCTTCATGAACTAAGGACATGCGCCAGTTTAAAGTCAAATTCCATATCCACCCCAAAGACAATTATGAACCCAAAAGAGCAGGAGCAGGTTCGGGCCCATCTAGCTCAGCTTGTTATGGCGAGACAAGCAAAAGCCATCTTTAGGGCTGGCATTGAATGGTACACCCCCTTAGCTCAACTCTAAAAAGCTTTATACGCTCAATAGCGCGGTGTTTAAGGCAAAGAAAATGACCAGGCACGCAGGCTCTTTCCTAACACACAAGCTCCAAACTAAACTCGCGATAATAAAAACACGAAAAAAAAAGGCCACTCAGCGCGCTTTTAGCGCTCGCCTACTGACTAGGGGCATTGAAGCTCACCTTATAAACGAGAAAAAAGGATGAACAGAATGAGTTTCATAATCAGTTGAAAAAGAACTAGCCAAGCTTCTTCACAAGCGAAGAAAGGGAGACGAGACTAGACGGATCTACTACAAGAGGTGAAAGCACTTTGTTGCTACTGGCTTTCAATCTCGATCTGCCAACTGTCAATCTAAAAGAGGCCTTGCTTCTTCATCCGTATTAGGATTTGCCTTGCTTGGTCAGGACTAAGTAATAAGCGACTAAAGAATCTGCCTTTAGCTCCGTGGCTCTAGCCGGAAAGTCCAAAAGGACTAGTGTTTGACCACGATCCCTTCTTCTCCCGTTGCACACGCAATAAGCCTTAATTATGGAAACCCTTTCTCCACCCTACAACCCTGTACGTAGTCTATTTTCTTCTTTTTTTCCCCCTTATATGTGCTTGTTCATTGGATTGAAGTGCGCGATAGATGCTTCTGACCGAACTGCTCTTTGGTTTGACCTACATCGATAGAACACATCTTTGTTGGTGAGACAAGAGAGGTATTGGAAGAAAGTTTATTGGTGGTGATAAACAGCTATTTATAGATGAATATAAAGAATTCATACCTGAGAAAACTCGAATCCTTCAACGATCGACTTGAAAGTAAAGGACAAGTCGAAAGTTTTGACGGATGATGATGACACTCGACATGACAATAGTGAAGCAAGCGCGCGGCATATGAAGTACATGCTTTTAGTAGGTGTTCAGTAGGGTCAAGGAAGCGAAGAGATGAAAGTGAGGAATTGAGTGGTTCATTTCGGTCTAACTTCGTTACTGTACCCCGGTCTCACTCCGACAGCGTACTATCCTAGACCTCTGTCTATCCCGACATTGATAGAAATTCATAGTTAGGTTAGCCAGCCCGGTAACCCCGACAAGTGGGAGTAGCAATAACACAGGACCGTCAATCAATAAGATCAGTGACAAGAAAGACGGATTTTCTCCCTCTCAGCTCAAACCACTCCCAGGGAGAACGAAGTGAACAACTAAGGTTCAAGGATGAAGAGGATTTCCCAGAAAGAGCCGTAATAACCTCACTTGAGACCAAGAAGCAAATTCGGCAAAAGAGACCAGGATTCAGCAAGTCACATCTGATGTAGAACAGTTGAAAGAACAAGTGAAGGAGATAAAGTGCCTCATGGCAACCCTGGTCAAGACACAGAAACCCCATGCAAGAACAATCCAGTAAGCTATCAGAACAAGGCAAGGGATTCCAAGATAACTATCCTCCTGTCTACAACAGCTTCACTGATTATGTCAACTCGCAGATGTCGACAATAGGCAGGGCGAGGTCATGGCAAGACCAAAAATCCCTATTCGGGATGAGAATCAATCCTAAGAAGCTCCCTGGAGAAAGGAAAGTCAATCCAGAACAAACATCTTTTTCCGGTGATCTTAAGGAATTCATCAATGATATGCAGCTAGGGCTAGGAGGAGATGGGAACAACGGAAGTTCAACCTATTGCCCATTTCATGGCTACAATTGTTATTGCATCTTCCGCCCTCAATCCCGAATTGGATTCCAAGGAAACGTGACCCAAATGTCAGATGCGAACATGGGGCCTCAGACACCCGACCAAACGTTGCGTTCACCTGGAAAGCAAGAGACAAATCAAGATGAGAGAGAAGTACAGGCTATCATGATTGGGCAACCTCCCAAAGGGGATTTCTCCAGGATTCGGCCGATCCATACAGCTCGCCAACAAGTCCAACCAATGCAATTGCAAGTCCAATCCAGGGCAACCGCTCAAGCTCAATCCACCCCAGTCAGATATATGGGAAGAGAGGAGCACACCGAAAGTGTGACCCATTACCAGCCCTTCCGTCACAGTTGCTCCTAGAGTTGGTAGCAGCCAACCTCATCAAGCCTATACCACTTAGGCCGATACCAAATCCACCACCCAAGAATTGAATCCCAAACGCACGCTGTGAATATCACATGGGTGGAGAGGACACTGGACTGATCAATGCTACAACCTTAGGCATGAGATTCCCTCATTGATCAGCACCTCTGGGACCCATCCGTCAAAGGCCTCGTGGAAATCACTCCCAAAAAATACATTTTGGTACCACTGAGGTCATGCCTATAACCGGTAATCATTTTGTGAAGGCTTATCTGCGTTACATGTATACGCGTGTAAACATGTGCTAATATTCTATGTGAA